TGGATCTGACTCCTATGCAGTAGATTTGTCTAAACACATTGTGGTAAATAGAGGGCCAATAAACCTTTAAGAATCTATTGGAAAGGAGATGCTGATAGAAGCTGAGTAGTGCATAAAACAGACATTAATGATGGCTATTCGCTGTCGGAGCAGGAAGTGCATGGAGAGGATGAGTGTTTTGTGTCCATGACTCTGGGTCTTGGTCATATATCAGCACTAACCCTGACAGTGCTTCAGCATAGAGTTGGACATAGAAACCTTTCAATGGGAACCAAGTAGTGGCTTTTGATTATGGACAGACAGTCAATATCTTTGTACATATTGATAACATATGTATTTATCTCTTTGTGATATAGATATTACTTGTTAATCTTGTTATTTATAAATGCTCACTATCATTTGGTGTGAGTATAGTGCGCCATCAAACATTACAGTTTATAAATCCTACAAAAGTGTTGACAGAATCACCTTCCATCTACTCTGGTGGTAATCCGCAGAACGCCAGCTCAGACTTGTTAATAAACAATATTTAAAACAAGAGTTGGCATCAGATAGAATCACAATAATTTCATAGATTTATGTATAGCAAATATCTTACCAACAGTACAAGTTCTAAAAATCCTAGTATGTCAAGCTTTCAAGTGATGCTGATCAAATTATTGTCCTGTTAAATCTGTCTGTTAATTAGTGAGTAAAGTTGCTGAGCATGCCAGTAGTTGTTATCAAATGAAAATACAAATGAAACACTGGTTATCAAGTTCACTAATTAATCTAATGATTGAATTTTATAATTTGATGTTGATGAAAATAAGTTTGCTAATGATGTTTGTATATAATTGGTGCTTTAAAGAGTCAAGCTGAGATTTGACACTGATCAAAAAATCAATATCATCTTTGATGCAGATCTAATGGACACCAATGAGCGAAAAAAAAACACCTGCATTTTTCTGATGGCAAGGTCATCACCAGTTTTGTTACGGTTTGAGACTACTATGGGTTTGAACTAAGACTTGACCACTGTTTTTAAATTTCATTACCAGTGTATTCTGAATTGTTTTATGTGTGATAAGAAAATTGCAACTTTTAGAATTTTCTTCACAAGGATGTGAAATCCATTAAGCAGAATCAATTAATTAGAGGCTTTCTTTGTAGACACAATCGGCGTCAGACTTGTGCCACTCTTCTGATATATCTCTACAAACTTTTCCTGTCTCAGTAATCTTGGACAACCTTGAATCGTGACACTAAATAGATGAGCTCTACTGCTTTGTTTCAAAGGAAGTGATCAGTTTAGTCCCACTCCTTATATTGTGATTGTTTTCGAGAATAAAAGAAAGTTTGAGAATTGTAGGTTTTGAAGACAATCAGGTCTCCCGCTGATTAGTTAGTGATACAGTATATTTCCATTTCAAGCAATCATCAGTTATAAACACAGTAATTGAGGGTATATGATATTTCTCATAGATTTAATTTACCATTAAAGAAACTAGGTAGGATTTCTTCTGTACATCTGTCACACTATTTACTGATACTTACCACACAGAACCTAGGTTTTTCCCTGTACATCTGTCACACTATTTACTGTTACTTACCACACAGAACCTAGGATTTTACCTGTACATCTGTCACACTATTTACTGATACTTACCACACAGAACCTAGGATTTTACCTGTACATCTGTCACACTATTTACTGTTACTTACCTCACAGAACCTAGGATTTTACCTGTACATCTGTCACACTATTTACTGTTACTTACCTCACAGAACCTAGGATTTTACCTGTACGTCTGTCACACTATTTACTAATATTTACCACACAGAACCTAGGATTTTACCTGTACGTCTGTCACACTATTTACTAATACTTACCACACAGAACCTAGGATTTTACCTGTATGTCTGTCACACTATTTCCTGATACTAAACACATATTTAAGATGTACAGGTGTCTGCTGTATCAGCTTGATATCATTTCCCTTTCATTCTATTTGCATTTACTCCATTTGTGTTGTCCTTGAAAGTTTTTTCTCAAAAGAAATTAAAGTTATCATTTTGATAATTTCATTATTGGATGCTGACTGATAACTTTACTTGAGATTTTCATTTGTTGTGTAAGAAATCAGGAATTCTAGTTTGATTGCCATGAAAAATATCCTATAATTCATATCTTCATGTCACTCCATTTTCATTGCATCTTAAATTGGATGAAAATTAGAAGCGAAATTAATTATCTTTAACCTAATTCAGGTAGCAGTCAGTGATAAATAGGGCCAATCAATCTTCCAATTTGAGTAAATAGAAGTATTGACATGACTAATGTTTTACATTCTGTACCTCTGAAAAAGTGATATTTCATTTTCTGCAGTAAAGAAAAGTTGTTTATGCCTCGAATTGAATAATGATCTCAAGCTTTTGAAAAACATTGAAATAAATGAAGCTATTTACATATAAACAATGTATCAATACTAGTGTCACTAAACAAAAATAACAATGATATAAGGAGTTAAAATCAATATTATATAGACATGGTGCAGCTCAAACATGTACTAACTGACTCAGAGGGTTTGCAGAAAAAAGCAATAATGGAGAAAAACTCCAGTAATTACTGCATGTTAAGCTGACCGAACCACATGGCATCGATTCTGGTCTCTAGCATGCTTTAAGATCAGGGAATTCTTTTGTTGAATGCATCATGCAGCTGGGAATAGCACTAATGATTGTGATTATGTTATGTCAGCTAGGGCGGCAAGGACTTCTACTATTTAGCCTGGAGGTAAACTCCATGATAATAATTATTGGATATTGGTATCAGAAACAGATACTCCTTATCAACAATAATAGACATTAACGTAGATTAAACATTGTTGTACATTACCAACAAAAGGTCAGTGATACTGGTAAAGGTCATGTAGCAAAATGTTGGATAGGATGCTGTATTACTAGTATTTATAACATGTATAATTATAGTGTTCTAATTACAAACCTAAATGCTGGAGATTGGATGGTCTATACGTTCTTAAGGAGGACATGTCTGGTAATCAACAGCTCTATATAAACAGACTGGGCACCTGCTTTCCGTTTATTCTATGGCGTGGCTTATGTTCTTCTGTTTTTCTGCTCCAGAAAGTGACTAGTGTTAGTGGTTGGTATATATTTAGGTGTATCTCTGCCTTGCGGTTTGAGAAATTATAGATGTCGGTTTCTTTTTTCCATTTTCTTAATTAGCTTAATGAAGCTATCTTTTCATATCTACCTGAGTAATTGTGGACGACGAACAAGTGGAAAATCTTCAAATTTAGTACAAGTACTGTGTATTTATACAACATTTATCATGAAATTCACATTTCAAATTATATTAGGATAGTCAGCAATGAGAAGGCATTGAAAATGCGTCGCCTGCTACCTCATCTACCATTGTCTCCTGGCAAAAATGATACTAATTAAGAAAACATGCCATTTGGTAAAGTGTGGTTGTCCTAGAGTTGTGGAAGAAGACTTACAATGATTGAAAGTAATTAGTATCCAGGAAAACACAGCATCACTACTTCCACGGGGATTACAACGGTCTCATTTTAATATAGATTGCTTCAAGATTTTTAGTCATTAACAAGTGTTACGCTACCAGATAGACAAGGAATATCACCTGTTTTCAATTGATGTCGGAAAAAATGTGCAAATAGTGGAGTCAAATGATAATTCCCGGGGATCAATTAATTTCACATTTTGAAGACTGTTGTACAATAATGAATAACCTACATACACACATACCATTTTGTGGTATAACTTTTCACATGTGAGAAAGTGGAGTATAGTGCTTATTAATATTGTATATGGCTTGCAGACGTTGTACAAGTTATGTTAATCTGTGGTAACAACGTCCCCATCTCTGGCCAGCCTGATTTCTCTGTCTTTCTGTGCGGGTTGGCTTAACATCATCAGCTACGATCCACTTGTTTTACGAGGCTATATTGTGTGGGTTTATGTAACACAGAAGATATATAATTCCCTGAATCTACTGCTGGTGAATTCTTTCAGGAAACCATTCGGAATACGTCTCGTAAAATTAATCAATTACGCTGTCAGTGTTCTGACACTGTATCCAATTCATAGCATATTAAACTTAAGATTTTAACTTCATCTTCTAAAGCTTTGATAGATTCCATCATACTTTATATAAAATTTCAACATCTCTTGAATTGGAAGCACTTACCATGTTTTAACAGAAGATTTTACTGTATTTTGACCTAAATTCTTCACATTTTTTCTTTGAAGAAAATTATGTTTTCAGTATTTTTTGAGATGATGTTTTTTTAATGTTTAAGATGTGAGAAACACCAACGACAATGCTAATGTCAGCAGTTGATATGAAACATTAAACTGAATTATGTGTATAGTGTTATAAGTGATAGATGAAGGAGCTCCAGTGCCTTCCTGTGATGGTACCGAGTGGTGTTTTGGTTGTTACAGAGAAGTTAGACTGGCCAATGATATGAAGATAATTTTCTTTGACAGTTTCATCGCTGGTTGATGTGACTAGCAGATGAAAGGAATTACAATCAGGCAACAAATTCCATTTAGTGTTTGTGTTATTCCCGTAGAGGAGTGAGTCCCCATTTAACGTGTGGGTTCGGAGACAGTCCAGAGAGATATGGTAGCACCTATTGGAAGTGTATGTATGTTACAATGCTTTTAAAGATAAACACACAGCGATATCTCCATACGGCAGAGGGATGGAGATATATAGGTATAAATGTGACCAAGCATGGAGGCACTGATAGAAAATAAATGGTGAAAGAGAGAGTGGGCAATATCTAACCTAAACAGATGGATTTTTACAGGAAATGGTTTATATGGAACTAGAGGAGTGTGTAGCTAGTGTGTTAGTTCTCAACAGAGACTCGCTATACAATACATTTGTATTTATGATTGGTGAGGGAAAACTTTGGATTTCTCGGCATCACACACAGATTAAGTGATGAAAGGTAGGAGTCACATGGATGGACATCTTGTACATCTTCATGAGAGCTCACAATAGTGCAGGGCTGTCTGACACACAGCGGAGTGCCAGCTCTAGTGGGGAATACACAGATGTGACTGTACGGCAGACAAATCTGCCAGTATATAGGGGTGGATGGGGGATAGACAAGGACTCCAGCCCCCAAAGTTCCGGTCGCCATGGTGACCCCCGGGAAAAAGATGGAGTAGGAATAAGCAGGGAGAGATACAGGAGGTCTGCTCCTGTGTTTGTACTTTCTGAGGAAATGTCCAATGGTCAGCCCAACAGAGCTAATACATCCTTGACTGGTCGTGTGATTCGTAGATATCAAGGGGCTCAGAGCCTCAATTTGGATTCTACCCCATCCTCTCCCGACTCTCCAGGGGATACATGTGGATGTAGGATACCTGGTATGAGGTCAGACAGGGTTCACCCAGTTAGTGGTAGTACCCAGAGTCCAGCACGTGTCAGTTTTCAGGATCCTACACGTCTAACTGTTCGCCAAAATGACCAGCGATCCTCCCATGAACAGAGGAGGTACAGACGGGCAGAGACTGTATGTACTGCCCGGCCCCATACTATGGCAGATTACAGCCAATACTCGGAGTACCTGTATTATTACCAGACATTGCCAAGGCATCAACCTCGAGGGGTGAGTGACAAATTTACCATGATGCTGGCTAAGCCAGGTGTTAGTACAGGTGATAGAGGGTAGGCTAGACAGCTGTATAACATGGGGTAGTCAGGTAGAAATGGATTATAGCACAATCTGGGAGGCCAGAAGGTGGGCCAGGACAGTCATATTTGTGGGGTGGTCGAAGGTGGGCTATGAAAAATCATACACTGTGGGGTTGCAGAAGGTGGGTTAGGACACCTGTACACTGGAATGGCTAAAGGTGGGCTGGAACAGCCATGCACAAAAGGGTGGCACAGGGTAGTCGAGTACAGCTAAATTATTCAGGATGGCAGAGGGTAGTCGAGGACAGCTGAACACTGTTAGGTGACAGAATGTTGGCTAGGAAAGCATACACACTGTGGGAATGCATGATTCAGTGTGCAGGCAGGATAGGTGTGACACATATTGCTATACTTATACAAAAGAATAAAGGAAAAATTGACTATAGTAGGAGTTGTGGATGTAGATGGGAGTTCACTAGGATTATAGATAGCATAATAGTAATATTCTCATCTTCAAGTGTTAAATTTAGGAGGGTATTAAACTTGTATAATGAACTATATCATAGATCACACAGAGGTAGCAACACAAAGTACTAGAGCACAGGGGGTACATAGCAACACCAAATACTAGAGTACAGGGGGATATAGCAACACCAAATACTAGAGTACAGGGGGATATAGCAATACCAAATACTAGAGTACAGGGTGATATAGCATCACCAAATACTAGAGTACAGGGGCATATAGCAACACCAAATACTAGAGTACAGGGGCATATAGCATCACCAAATACTAGAGTACAGGGGTATATAGCAACACCAAATACTAGAGTACAGGGGTATATAGCATCACCAAATACTAGAGTACAGGGGCATATAGCAACACTAAATACTAGAGTACAGGGGGATATAGCAACACCAAATACTAGAGTACAGGGGCATATAGCAACACTAAATACTAGAGTACAGGGGGATATAGCAACACTAATTACTAGAGTACAGGGGTATATAGCAACACCAAATACTAGAGTACAGGGGGATATAGCAACACCAAATACTAGAGTACAGGGGCATATAGCAACACCAAATACTAGAGTACAGGGGATATAGCAACACCAAATACTAGAGTGCAAGGGGATATAGCAACACCAAATACTAGAGTACAGGGGGATATATAGCAACACCAAATACTAGAGTGCAGGGGATAGAGCAACACCAAATACTAGAGTACAGGGGCATATAGCAACACCAAATACTAGAGTACAGGGGGATATAGCAACACCAAATACTAGAGTACAGGGGATATAGCAACACCAAATACTAGAGTACAGGGGTATATAGCAATACCAAATACTAGAGTGCAGGGGATAGAGCAACACCAAATACTAGAGTACAGGGGCATATAGCAACACTAAATACTAGAGTACAGGGGGATATATAGCAACACCAAATACTAGAGTACAGGGGGTATATAGCAACATTAATGCTAGAGTGTGTAATACAATATGCTATATTACTCATGTGACTAGTAGATACCAACAAGGCTTGTAAATACAATATTCTAACTTACAAAATGGAGTATTGCCAACTGGATAGAGTGACATGTAAAACATTTTTTAGTTGATTTTTTACAAATGATTTGGCAGTCATATACATATAATGGGGTGGATATGATGGAGGAGACCGACAACTTGGGAGTAGTTTATTTTCTCATCATTTTATACACATTTTACTACAGACCTAATCCTGTAGATGATACCCATGGTGATAAGGTAACATAATAAAAAAGTGGAGTCAGGTTCTTCTTTCTGAAGCCTTGTCACCTTATGCAATTCCAAAACATGTATTAAAGATATGCCATTTTTCATGTGAAAAATATTTCATAAAAAAATTTTGAGGTTTGTATTCTATGAATTGTATGAAGGAACACATTCACCAAGGGTTGATTGGCCTCTGTTCATATTGGCCAAGTACTGTATTTGGCCTAAAATAAATAAAAAAATAAAAAATGAAAATCGGCTAAACCATCATACTTTGGCCAATTGTCATTACCAAAATGAACTGAAACTAAGCTGGATGTTTTGGCCCTGTATATCATAACCCCACACTAGATTTTGGAAAGACAATAGTGTTGACAAGCTAACATGTTAGAATAAGTTTACCTATAAACACCACAGTTCTCATGAATGCAACAATTAATATTTATACATGTATATTTACATAATCTGGCTGGTAAAACTGATTAGGTCTCAGACCCTATCCTGTGATAAGCCCAGGGGGCCAACACAAAATGTGTTTGTTCATTTGGTTTTTCGCCCAGTAGATAGCCAATGTAATATGAGGCAGGCTCTCCATTTGACTTGTGGTTTCCTCACTTAACAACATGCCGGAGTCCTGTTGCATGCCATCCAGAACATTTAGTGTGAAATGTCCAAGGACATATCCATGTCACCACAGACCAGGTCTTTCCTCAGCTTCCTGTGAATCAGATACTGTCAATATATATTTATGTATGTGGTCAATATTTATAGGAACTTTATTCACTTACAACTTCAGCTTATACAAATTGCTCTTGTTGATCACGATGTCAACGTGCGCAGGTCTTACTTTGGGAGGAAACCGGAGTACCTGTGGAAAATCCATGTAGTCGGGCTGGTGACCCCCACATTTTCACATCCATTCTGGGAATTAAATTCAGGACAGCTAGGTTAAAGGAAAGTGCATTACCACTGCCCAAGACGACCATCCTCGTCACTGCTACTAGATGCACCTCATATCTCCGCCTGCGGTTAGGTGGGCCAAATTCTAAACAACCAGACAACCACAACACCTACAAAATCTCATACTCAAAGTCATAGCATGGCGTTATTGCAAAATAATGGAAGATCTTTTTCTGATTATTGTACTGAACAATGACAGATATGGGTTGGCTTATGCCTGGGTTTCTTAGCAAGCATGGGCTTCATTGCTAGGTACATATAGTAATGATAAGGCTAAAAATTGTAGTACAGACAGATATGATTTTTTTTTTCCTGTTGTACATATTGTTGGTAGAACATGAAAATGCTCCTGAAAACAGAGCATGAAAAGATGGAGAGAAAATATTATGTGTGGTAAAATTACACTTCAGAAAACATGGCATGTATCTAGGCAACACATACACAACTTATATTGGTTGTCGGAAATAGCCCTGGGTTGGGAGACCTGATGCTAGAGTGTTACAGTGGAGGGCCCTTATTTAATCTTCACTACTCAGCTATCATCACAATGCTAGATTTGTTTATTGTTCTATTGTTATACACGATAGGAATGCAGGCTATTTGTGTATTGTGGTCCTTCATTTTGTCATACAACATATATACTGGTAATCTTGTACTCATTAACCCTGTCATACAGGTATATGCTGGTACCTGTTTACTTTTCATAAGACACATACATATACTGTTTACCTGTTTGTCCTGTCATACAGGTATATGCTGGTACCTACCTGTCATACAGGTATATGTTGGTACCTACCTGTCATACAGGTATTTACTGGTACCTACCTGTCATACAGGTATATGCTGGTACCTACCTGTCATACAGGTATATACTGGTACCTACCTGTCATACAGGTATATGCTGGTACCTACCTGTCATACAGGTATTTACTGGTACCTACCTGTCATACAGGTATATGCTGGTACCTACCTGTCATACAGGTACTGATAAGTATATATTTATAATGTTTTACCTGTTACACAGGTATACCTTTGTTCCTGTATGTATTTGTTCTACATATACTAGTTAAACTAGGATACAGGTATACATTTGTGATGTTTTACCTGTCGTAATATTTTACCTGTACAATTTAATGAGTTAATTAAATTTACATACTCATGAATGTCTGTTACATCTCAGAGAAAATTGAATTTCAGGGTTGTAAGTCTTTTTCACTGTTTTAGAACATTTTTGACAGCAAGTTTGAATTTCAAGGTTGAAGGGTCAGGATCATGGTCAAGGCCATTGTTACTATTTCTAGGGAATCACTATTGGCTATAATCTGTATTGAGCATAGGTCACATTGGAACTGAAAGGGGATTTGTATCCTTTAGGATGTCTTGTTTTTTGTTGTTTTTTTTTTCTTGTGAGTGGTTGTGTTTGTGTTCTCTTGCAAAAAGTGAAAGTCCTGAAGTAAAGAAGAAAATTTGATTCCCATTTATACAACAGGCAAGTTTTAGTTGTAATCATTACCTTTTGATTACCATGTGAATGAATTTTAAGGTTCAGTAGAAACAACAATTGGGTTAGCATTAAATTAGGAAGTTCTTCAGGACAAGTATGAATAATTCAGATTTGAAATCAACACACGGAAGTGTTGCCTGAAGATATGCTACATGGAAATGACAGACTTAAAAAAAACCCAATTAATTACAAAATCTAGATTAGAGCAAGACACAAGTTGAATAAAAATTTAATCAATTCAAAAATTGATAGCTTCCAGTAAAACTGTTTTGAGAAATTGAAACAAAGTGCAAGTTTTAGGTCCATGGGAGAATTGGTTCTTTGCTCTTGCAAATTGTTGTGTTGATACTCTGAACTTCTGCACACATTAACGGATGAAAGCTAATTACATGCAACTGTCTTCATGAAACTTGTTCGAATGTTGTGAAGAAGTAATTTGATTGAAGACAGTAAAATTAATTAATGATGACCTGTTCTTGAATCCAATTGAAATTCTTTGGAGATAATTACTGTTGATTTTTGGTTCAGAGTCTGAAGAAGCATTAATGTATCCAAACAGTTTTGTGTTGATCCTTTGAGCTCTAAAGACTATATTAAAAATATTTCAGACTTAAAGAATTTGATATAACTATTGCATGAAATCACATAGGTGTAATTTGCATTTTTCTCTCATGTCTTACAGAGTTATGTATAAAAAACAAAGATTCCTTTACATGTTTTATGAGAATAGTTTACCACAGAAAGCTATAAA